TAGTATAGGCACAGCCTGCCAGCAGTGGTGTTGCTAAGCTGCCGCAGGCTCTGCCCAGCTGCTGTGTGAACTGCCTTTTAGTTGCGGACTGCCTTGGTAGTGGGGGATGCCCTCACTCCCAATGAGCTGGAACAGTCCTGGGTCCAGCTGTGCTTGCTGCAAAACTCAATCCAGAGTGTTTCAGATTGCTTGTTTTGTGGGGATGTACCCGCCGAGCCGGGTCACCAGGCTCCCTGTCTCAGCCCCCTCCCTTTCAGTTGAATGGGTGGCTTTGTCTCCCAAGTGTTCCAGGCGCCAGTAGAAACAGCCACCCAGACTTGTGTGAGTTTCTGTGCATGCTGACCTGGCACCAGCAGAAACCACTGTGCTAAAAACTCTTGGTGATTTTAGGCCTGGGAATCTCCTGGCCTGTGGGCAGTGAAAACTTGTTTGGAAATGCGGTGAGCACTCGCCGTCTGTGCTGTTCTTGCTGGGAACTGCACTCTGGAGCTGTTCCTATTTGGCTATCTTGGATCCTCCTTCAAACTCATCCTTTTTTATGGCTGCATGGTATTCCACAGTGTATATGTGCCACATTTTCTTTAACCAGTCTATCAGTGATGGGCATTTGGGTTGGTTCCAAGTCTTTGCTATTGTGAAGAGTGTTGCAGTAAACATATTTATGCATGTGACTTTATAACAGAATGATTTATAATCATTTGGGTATATACCCAGTAATGGAATTGCTGGGTCAAATGGTATTTCTGTTTCTAGATCCTTGAGGAATTGCCACACTGTCTTCCACAATGTTTAAACTAATTTACATTCCCACTAACAGTGTAAAAAGCATTCCTATTTTTTCACATCCTCTCCAGCATCTGTTGTCTCCTGATTTTTTTAATGACCACCATTCTAACTGGTGTGAGATGGTATCTCAGTGTGGTTTTAATTTACATTTCTCTAATGACCAGTGATGATGAACTTTTTTTCATATGTTTGTTGGCCACATAAATGTCTTCTTTTAAGAAGTGTTTATTCATATCCTTTACCCATGTTTTGATGGGGTTATTTTTTTCTTGTAAAATTTTTTTTTTTTTTTTGAGATGGAGTTTTGCTCTTGTTACCCAGGCTGGAGTGCAATGGCGCCATCTCGGCTCACCACAACCTCCGCCTCCTGGATTCAGGCAATTCTCCTGCCTCAGCCTCCTGAGTAGCTGGGATTACAGGCACGCACCACCATGCCCAGCTAATTTTTTGTATCTTTAGTAGTGATGGGGTTTTCACCATGTTGACCAGGATGGTCTCGATCTCTTGACCTTGTGATCCGCCCGCCTCAGCCTCCAAAGTGCTGGGATTACCACTGCACCGGCCTTCTTGTAAATTTTTTAAAAGTTCTTTGTAGATTCTGAATATTAGTCCTTTGTCAGATGGGTAGATGCAAAATTTGTTTTCCCATTCTGTTGGTTGCCAGTTCATGCTAATGATAGTTTCTTTTGCTTTGCAGAAGCTCTTTAGTTTAATTCGATCCCATTTGTCTATTTTGGCTTTTGTTGCCCTTGCTTTGGTGTTTTGGTCTCTAAGTCCTTGCCCATGTCTATGTTCTGAATGGTATTGCCAATGTTTTCTTCTAGGGTTTTTATGGTGTTAGGTCTTATGTTTAAATCTTTAACCCATCTGGAGTTAATTTTTGTATAAGGTGTAAGGAAGGGGTCCAGTTTCAGCTTTCCCCATATGGCTAGCCAGTTTTCCCAACACCATTTATTAAATGGGGAATCCTTTCCCCATTGCTTGTTTTTGTAAGGTTTGTCAAAGATCAGACAATTGTAGATATGTGGTGTTATTTCTGAGGCCTCTGTTCTGTTCCATTGGTCTATATCTCTGTTTTGGTACCAGTACCATGCTGTTTTGATTACTGTAGCCTTGTAGTCTGAAGTCAGGTAGTGTGATGCCTCCAGCTTTTTTTTTTTTTTTTGCTTAGAGTTGTCTTGGCTATGCAGGCTCTTTCTTGGTTCCCCCTGTGGTTTAAGGGGGGTTTTTTTTTTTTTTTTTTTTTTTTTTTTGTTTTTTTTTTTTTTTTCTTGTTTTTTTTTTTTTCCTGGTTTTTTTTTTTTTTTTTTTTTGCTTAGAATTGTCTTGGCTATGCAGGCTCTTTCTTGGTTCCATATGAATTATAAGGTGTTTTTTTTTTCCCCAATTCTGTGAAGAAGTCAATGTTAGCTTCATGGGGATAGCATTGAATCTATAAATTACTTTGGGCAGTATGGCCATTTTCACAATATTGATTCTTCTTAAGCATGAACATGGAATGTTTTTCCATCTGTTTGTTTCCTCTCTTATTTCCTTGAGCAGTGTTTTATAGTTCTCCTTGAAGAAGTCCTTCATATCTCTTGTTAGTTGTATTCCTAGGTATTTTATTCTCTTTATAGCAATTGTGAATGGGGGTTCACTCATGATTTGGCTTTGTGTTTGTCTGTTATTGGTGTATAAGAACGCTTGTGGGTTTTGCACATTGATTTTGCATCCTGAGACTTTGCTGAAGTTGCTTATCAGCTTAAGGAGAGTCTGGGCTGAGATGATGGGGTCTTCCAAATATAAATCATGTCGTCTGCAAGTAGAGACAATTTGACTTCCTCTTTTTCTAACTGAATACCGTTTATTTCTTTTTCTTCCCTGATTGCCCTGGCCAGAACTTCCAATACTATGTTGAATTGGAGTGGTGAGAGAGGGGATCCTTGTCTTGTGCCTACTTTCAAAGGGAATGCTTCCAGTTTTTGCCCATTTAGTATGATATTGGCTGTGGGTTTGTCATAAATAACTCTTATTGTTTTGAGATACATTCCATCAGTACCTAGTTTATTGAGAGTTTTTAGTATAAAGGTGCCTTTTTCTCTCTCTCTCTTTTTTTTTTTTTTTTTTTTTTTTTTTAATTTAATTTAATTTTTTTTTTTTTTTTTTTTTTTGAGACAGGGTCTCCCTCTTTCATCCAGCTGGAATGCAGTGGCCCAATCATGGCTCATTGAAACCTCAAACTCTTGGGCCTAAGCGATCCTCTCAGCTTGACCTCCTGAGTTGCTGGGATTACAGGCATACACCACAATGCTCAGCTAGTTTTTAAATTATTTGTGGAGATGGAGGTCTTAGTATGTTGTCCAGGCTGGTCTTCAACTCTGGGCCTCAAGCAATCCTCCCACCTCAGACTCCCAAAGTGCTGGGATTACAGGCATGAGCCACAGTGCCTGGCCTGAAGTACCTTTTCCTCTTTTATCAAAAAACAGTTATTCAGGGAAGCTCTTCCTCAATTGCCCACTTCCTATCCCCAGCTATATTTTATTTCATAGCCCTTAGACACCAGAAGACACATAAAGCTTATGACCTGCTTATTCTCTGCTACTCTTACTAGAATATGCACATGAGGGTCCCGGGACCTTTAGCTTTGTTGTTCCCTGTAGCATCCCTGTAGCTTAGAATAGTGTTTGGCACTTCAGAAAATGTTTGTTGAATGAATGAATCAAAGCAAATCTGTGTAATTATGTACACAGTTTGTTTCCTTTCAGAAAAAGAGGATTTATTTGTTTTTTAGTTGTATTCTGATTTTTCTGAGACAGAGTCTTGTTCTGTTGCCCAGGCTAGAGTGCAGTGGCATGATCTCGGCTTATTGCAACCTCCACCTCCTGGGTTCAAGCAATTCTTGTGCCTCAGTCTCCTGAGTAGCTGGGATTGCAAGTGTGCGGCACCATGCCCAGCTAATTTTGTATTTTTAGTAGAGACAGGGTTTTACCATGTTGGCCAGGCTGGTCTTGAACTCCTGACCTCAGGTTATCCACCCACCTCAGCCTTCCAAAGTGCTGGGATTACAGGTGTGAGTCACTGCACCTGGCTTGAAAAAGAGGGCTTAAAAGCTCTCAACCCCTCTGAATGTTACATGAAGAAGGTATATGTTATCTTCCTCACTCTCTTTCCAAGTGCCTATTTAAATAGAATAGCTTTCCCCAGCTTACATGATATTCTCAAATGCTTATAAAGAATAAGTGTTATTGGACTTAGTCTTGTGAATAAAATAATTGTGATAATAATGAAAGATGTTCTGTATTTCAAATGGTGTTTTCTTCTGTGCCATCTCCAAATTTAAGTGTTTGTCAGTATTTAGTTGGAAACTTCAGGGGTAATAGTGATTTTATATGAGTAGCCAAACAGAAAATCTTATCTCCTTTTATCATACCCCTGAAGGAGTTTAAAGGCAGCAAATCTTTTTTTCATGGCAAAATGCCAGGTTCAGCTGATAAGGGTGCCTGCAAGAGCCACCTGATTTGCCTGTGTTCCTCCAGATTCCCATGTGAGCAAATTTCAGGTCTCTGTTAGCATTTTCTTTATCTAAATTTGAGAGGTCAGTGAAATGAATTAACACTGTCACCTAGAGGCAATGTGACACAAGTGAGATTACTGAAAATAAATATAAAAGTTCAGGCTTTTATTATATTTATTTTCAGTTATTTTTATTTTATTTTCAGTTATTACCTTTAGTAATAACTAAAGCAGAAGCAATTGTACTCAACACAGTGACCAGATTTTAAATGAAACATTAAACATTTTTTTAAAAAGGGAATTTCCTTAACTTGTTAAGAGGCATCTATAAAAAATATCTACAGCATAGGACTTAATAGTGAAATATCAATCCCGTTAAGAACGGAGAAAGGGACAGGTGCGGTGGCTTATGCCTGCAATATCAGCACTTTGGGAGTTCAAGGCAGAAGGATCATTTGAGGCCAGGAGTTTGAGAGCAGCCTGGGCAACAAGGTGAGACCCTATCTCTAAAAAACTAAACAAAATAACCAGTAGCGGTGTGTGTGTGTGTGTCTATTCTATCTATCTATGTGTGTGTGTGTGTGTTTTTCTATTCTATCTGTGTGTGTGTGTGTGTGTGTGTGTGTGTGTGTGTGTGTGTGTGTAGTGGGAGGTGAGGGTTTTAAGAGAAGAGCCACATAAACTGGACCATGTCTAGTTTGAAATAACTCTGCAGATTAGGGTGGGTCTAATTGGAAAAGTCTCCACAGATTATTTTGATATAACCAATCCCTTCTCCTCTAGGAATCTTGGCTTTGTCTTATTCTTAAAACAAATATATTATGGCTTATTCAAATAAAGCTGCCACTAAGACAGTTGTTTGTGAAACTCCTCTTCTAGAACAGCCCACCCCAAATAATTACTTCAAGCTATTAACGGCAATTCCATTTCTCTTGCCAGTGGCTGTCTCAGAAATGGACAGCTGACCCAGCTCTGGCAAATGAGGTGTCAGGGGTATCAGCCGAGAAGCTCTGTGGAAGGTTCCTCCCTGCTCAGGAAGAGACATGGGGGTAGCCTCTCTGTTCTCTGCTGGTGTCTCACCAGAGAGGATGCTTGGACCACTGTGGGCAGCTTGTCTATGGTCAGAAGACAAAGCCAACACGTGGAAAAGGGCCCCCAGGCAAAATCTTGAGTCCTCCTTTAAATATTTTCTTATATAAAACAATATATTTCTTTATTGGGTAAGCCATTTTGAATTTGGGTCCTATCACTTACAGCCAAAAGCATTCTAATGATTCCAGCTTGAAAACTTTTAGGAATGAAATATTAACACAGGGATTTGAATGTGCAACTGCTTTACCTGGATTAAGCAATTCCAAAAGTGTTTTTCAACCTCTCAAACTTAACACACACTATAGAGTTCCAAAGCCAAATGAAGAAAGCAGCCAAGGTAGGGAGCATCAGGTGCTTGCAGAGTGGAATATTCATGCTCTCAGTCATACGTTCGAAAATGTTTGAATAACACTGCCTGTCAAATGTGTGGTTTCTTTTAGGTTGTTCTAATTTCAACAGAAAGACAAAGAAGAGCAAAAGCTCCAGACATCAACACTGAGGTATTATTCTAGAATGCCTCCTTTTGCTGTTTCTGACTTCTTTAAAATTGAAACTTTTTCAAGAGAGTCCAGATGGTGCCTCTATCAATTAACTCTGAGAATCACACTCCAGTTTAGCACTTCCAGTGAGGGGCACTTGGAAAGTACTGATATATGATCCAGTTAAGATAGTTAACAAGCTGAGTAAATAGAAGAGTAACACTTCACACTGCACACCATTTGACTAAAACTATGCCTTCAAAATTCTTAGCAATTTCATTTGCTCTTCTGGTTAATTCTACTCCAGCACTGAGACCTGATAGTCTTGTGACATTGTGGAGCTATCGGAAGTAGCAGCTGATTTGCCACATGGTAAACCCTCATGAGCCCCAGGGCATTCTGCCAAAAGACTGCCTGAGATTTGCTGCTCCATTTTTAGTACATGGGCTGGGTTTCTTCATTCAATGCTTGAAAGCCAATCTCCATCAGAAGCATTGAGGCTTTTAGCTTTTAAATATTTTTAATTAAGATGATCTTCAGAAGTCATTGGCTTGATCTTAGAAATATGACAATTGCACATTCAGATTATATGTTCCCTTAGAACTCATCTCCTTCTACAAACATTCTTGGATAAAACCAATCTTCATCACTGTACACCTTCTACTATTTGTATTATTTTGGCCTCATTCTCTGGTTATTTCCTGTATGCATTTTTTTTTCCTTTGCAATTATATTGCAAACTCTTCTAGGTCAGGAAGAATAGTTGATTTATTTGCAGCACTCAGTGTATATTTGTAAATATTAATAAAATATCAGGAGATGATTAATCATAATGGTATTATTCAATGTACTGAAGCAAATTAGCAAAATAGGCTTTACCTAAGTGGGAAGAGAGCGTTTCCATTTCACACAAGAAGTGATACCACACTTTGCACATAGTAGCATTTGATAAATATTTCCTGAATGAATGAGATCACTATACACAACACAGAATTATGGAACTAGAAGGCATGGCAAAGAAATCACTACTGGGCCTCTCTTTTTTTGAAAGCAAATTACCCAGACTGATGAAAATCTGTCTAGTTTTTAAAAGACCACAAACTTACACAGTGAATCATTCTAACGTTTTGAAGCCCTCCCTATTAAAATACTTTCTTTATATCCTGTCCTAGATGGTAGGGAAATTGATGACATCATTCCACTCAGACACACAAAAATACTTCTAAGATTTCCAAGGTGAAGAAAAGAAAAAGTGGGAGAAAGAGAGAGAAGAGAGGAGAACGTTCCAGACAGATGACCAGCTGCTGATTCTGCAGTACATTTCTTTGTGTCAGATATTTATCTTCCATTCTGAATGTCTTTTTCCCCCCAAAAGATATGGAAACATGGCTTAGCAATAGAGAGGTTAGTGAACGGTTTTTGTTTTATAATGCACTGAATTATTTCCTTATGGTTAAAGAAAAACAGCCTATTCTTTAGTAAAAAAAAAAAAAAAAAAAAGGGGGGGAGCATGTGTAACTGTGCAGAAAAGAATACTTAAATTTCATAATTTCCTTTGAAAAAAAGTTATAACCTAGTATGAATGACTACAGTAGCTTTATATAAAAGATTATCAACCAGAATACATACTCCTGGAAATTTTAGTTCCATTGACTTCGACTTTCTGGATGAAGGCCAAATGAAAATATCTTCCTTATGGGTGAAGGAAGAATCATCTGAACTATTTATTTTAGCTACGTAAATGTATGTATTGTTTTTATTAAGGCAGCCATGTTTTATGCTCTGTGGGTTTCTTCTCTCAATATTAGGACTCTGAATAGAACTTAAGATGGTATCTATTTATATTTAGTATTAGATAGCCCTTTATTTCTTCTGAAAAATGAACAGTTCAACTAATAGGGAAAAGTCATACTCTGTGTTTTCTTTAGTACACAGCTTAATAACCTCAGCAACAACTTACTCTTTCTCCTTTGGGACCTGCAGGGCCATGGGGTCCCATAGGACCATCTGTACCCTAAAAAAAAAAGATAATATGAGACATATCACAAGGGCTGCAAGAATAGCAGTTATACTTTATCCTGGATTTTTCCTGGGTGAATGGTGCCTAAGAATGTCAGTAAGACAATTCATCTCCTTTCAAAGTGCTTTATGCTTAATTATTTCAGGCCAGTGGTTTACAAGAAACTCATGCAAAAAGGATGAATTATATAACTGCATGTTTCAATGAAAGGGACACACAAAAATATGCATATCATATTTAATTGTATATTTTCCTCTGACTTAAAGCATCATTGGCTCGGCGCAGTGGCTCATGCCTGTAATCCCAGCACTTTGGGAAGCTGAGGTGGGTAGATTACCTGAGGTCAGGTGTTTGAGACCAGCCTGGCCAGCATGGTGAAACCTCATCTCTACTGAAAATACAAAAATTAGCTGGGCATTGTGGCAGGTGCCTGTAGTCCCAGCTACTCTGGAGGCTGAGGCAGAAGAATCACTTGAACCAAGGAGGCTGAGATTACAGTGAGCCAAGATCATGCCATTGCACTCCAGCCTGGGCAACAGAGTGAGACTCTGTCTCAATAAATAAATAAAGCATCTTCACTTTGCCCCATAATCTTAAGAAGAAAAATGTAATTGTTTTTCCTTCCTGTCACCTCTTCCTCAAGCCCCTTCTCTGCACCCACTGCCACCCTTAGCAGGCAGGCTCTAAACTTTTGTTATCAGTTGTTTAAGAGGTTTGAACAGTTACACAAATGGAAGAAAATTATTAAGTAAGTGAAAACAGTGTGTAACTGTTCAATCCAAACTTTCTGTGGCTCTGTTGGGGGCAGCAGCGGCTTATAGGAAAGGAATCAGTCTTCTAGATTCTGCGGCAGTGGCTGGTCACTAAGCTTATAACTCACAAACCAGGCAGCCAAGATGACTTAAAAGTATAATTGCCTTTTGTCCTCCTGCTTAGTTCAGGATTAGGATTTCTGTGGTAGAAGAGATAATATTTGAATGAATGTAATAACACTGGTGCAATGGCATGATTTCATCTCACTGCAACCTCTGCCTCCTGGGTTCAAGTGATTCTCCTTTCTCAGCCTCCTGAGTAGCTGGGATTATAGGCACCCACCACTACAACTGGCTAATATTTGTATTTTTAGTAGAGACAGGGTTTCACCATGTTAGCCAGGCTGGTCTTGAACTCCTGACCTTGTGATCCACCTGCCTCGACCTCCCAAAGTACTGGGATTACAAGTGTGAGCCACCTTGCCCGGCCTTAGATTCTTAAAACTATAGCCAGGACTTCAAGTATACTTGCTCATTTCCAGGATAACTATGCTTCGATTCACAAAAAAATGGATTATAATATTTGCAAATGTAGGAACTATTCCAGCATGATTTTTCTTTAGTATTCCATTTCTGTTCTATTCTGGTTTATTCTATTAGAGCCTTGTGATAAGAAAGAATTCAGAATTTTAAATTCATTCTAATGTTGCTGAATTCTCATCAGCTTAACTGATCTTTTTCTTACTGCCTGAATTCAAAGTTCGCCTTCAGAAGACTTCTAAATACTGAGTATCTGTGGCTGAAATTTAAGAGTTGGAGCTGTTAAGAACCAAAGAAAAAAGACAAAATGACAGAAGACAGACAAGTCATTTCTATAAACAGAAATTGAAAGTTAGTGCCAAGGAAGAAGCTACATTTGTAAAACGGACGTAAGTCTAAAAGGAAAAGCAAGTTAAAATAATTTCACATTATTTTAATGTCTTCAGAGCGTGTCTCTTATGAAATTGTAGGGCTTGCCTATTGGTTCTGGAAGAATTCAGCTGGGATTCTAAGACAATAAAGCCAATTAGTCTGCTCATTCTTCCCACCTAGCAAATTATCCAGACTTGAACGTGGGCTTCAAAAAGATATTCTGGCGGTTTCGCTGTTCTCCAGACAGAGTTGCAACTGTCCTCTGTCCAGCTTTCCCCCTTTTGCCAACATCTTTGTCCACCTTCTCCTTTTACTCCAGCTCTACGTATTCCCTCACCATTTAATGAGAGGACATGGAGCAAAGGGTCTGTCCCGAAGCCCATGATTCACATCCACAAAACATGTCAGAACAAGACGAGCGACTGACTCACCCGGGATCCTGGCTTTCCGTCTAAGCCAGATGCTCCCTGTGTGATTTGGTTGGTAGCAGGGTTGGTGGGTGTAACACGAATGACAAGAACAGAGATTAGTATGAGGTACTGATGAACAAATGTAACACTTCAAACAACATAATACGCAGTTACAGGGTTCTGGGATGAATATCACATTGCTACAAATTGTTAGTTAAAAAAAAAAAACCACATGACAAACACCCCACAGATGATGGCATTTTAATGACATTTCTATTTGACAAATTCTCATTTAGAAATCAAGCTAATGAAGTGTATAAACTGAGCTACAAAGTAGTTACTCATAACAGTCACAGGCTTTATCTATTTTCCATATGAAATTCGTTTTCTAAGGACTGCTATTCACCATATATTTAGGTTCTGAAGAGAAAAGATAGCTATTTCCTTAGAAAGGGCTCATTATAATACTCAAATTTTGCATTTCAGAAGAAGAAAAAGAGCTCTGGTTATCCTTGTTAAAATAGTGTTTATGAATAACAAATGCAGGGTTTCCACGTTAGGATGACTCTTGGTGGATTTTACATCCACAATTACTCATTGTTTTCTGGATTGTTCCTACTGTTCACATTACTTTCCACTAGAGGGACTTCTAGGAAAGGGAAAAAGTCAGAAAACAAATTGTGAGGCCGAGCAAAAAATAACTTCCAAACTAAATTGTTTCTCAATTCCTTCAAATAATCTTTGCATCAAAGCCTGACTGGGAAGATAACTTTAAAAATCTAGTGTTGTCAGACAATGAATGCTTTTCTTTACTTTGAACTCTAGGCTACCCATAAATAGTGTATGATTAAAAAATGGCATTTTCAATGCTTGTTTCACGAATAAGCACAATTATTATTTCTTTGATACCGTTCTTGTCTCAAAGGCCAAATATTTATTGATAGTCCCTTAAAAATATTGGTTAGATCAAGGAGTATTTAAGAAAGAAAATGCACTGGCCCTAAACATTCTCTTATCAAGATTACAGAACTATTTCCCAATTTTATGCTTCAGATGCAGTTAACAATATAAAATGGAAGAAAAAAATCTATCCCAGATGCAAGCTCTACCAATGATGTTATTCTATATACGTTTTGGGTATTTTGAGTTTTTATTTTAAAATTTATTCTGTATAATCCTGTTATGAGCCATACTATAACTGTAAGCTACATACTTTTCTTTTGGAGATGGACTTTTACTCTTGTTGCCCAAGCTGGAGTACAATAGCATAACCTTGGCTCACTGCAACCTCTGCCTCTCGGGTTCAAGTGATTCTCCTGCCTCAGCCTCCCAAGTAGCTAGGATTATAGGAGTGTGCCTCCAGGCCTGGCTAATTTTTGTATTTTTAGTAGAGACAGGGTTTCATTATGTTGGCCAGGCTGGTCTCGAATTCTTGATCTTCGATGATCACCTGCCTCAGTCTCCCAAAATGCTGGGATGACAGGCTTGAGCCACCGTACCTGACCTACATACATCTTTTGTTAGCAATAATTACAATAAAAATGTATATTGTTGGCTGTTTAAGGTTAGCATAGGTAGAGCTTAGCTAAATGTTGCATAAAAATTATCAATAGTCCTAAATTTTAAATTAGGGCAGACTTTAAAGAAATCAGATTGAAAGTGAAAATCCAAACTTTCTTTTGCCTTTCGAGATTTTCTTCAATTATTATTATAACAACATTTGAAAATAAATGTAGGCCAGGCATAGTGGCTCATGTCTATAATCTCAGAGCTTTTGGAGGCCAAGGCAGGAAGATTGCTTGAGGCCGTGAGTTTGAGATCAGCATGGGAAACATGGTGAGACCCAATTTCTATAAAATATTAAAAAAAAAAAAAAAAATCGTTTGAGCCCAGGACTTTGAACTTGCAGTGAGCTACGATTCTACCACTAGACTCTAGCCTGGGTGACAGAGTGAGTNGGGTAAGTGGGCCTTGATTGGCTGTTGGGGAAACAAAGTGAAGGCAATTTTATTGGCTATTAAGAAGCAGGAAATACCTGGAGCTAGTTGTCATGGGTAGGCGGGCGGGACCTTGGGTAAGTGGGCCTTCCAGGGGCATACAGAGCAGACTGCTACCGGGCAGGGTTTGATGGGGCTTCTTTAAAAAAATTTTTTGCAGGGTTTTTTAACAGGGGGCTGGGGGTTGGATGCATAATTTAGTGCTGAATGTGGGCTTGGGACTGGTATGCGGAGGCGGGTACGGGGAAGCCATGTAGCAAGGCCAGATAACGAGCTTGGGTGATGACCCAGTTATCAGGCGCGGAGAGAGATGGATGTGTCCGTTTAACCCTCTGCGAGGCAGCCGACCTTACTATTATTATCACATTTGAAAATAAATGTAGGCCAGGCATACTGGCTCATGTCTGTAATCCCAGAGCTTTTGGAGGCTGAGGTGGGAAGATTGCTTGAGGCCATGAGTTTGAGATCAGCACAGGAAACATGGTGAAACCCAATCTCTATAAAATATTAAAAAAAAAATAAATCGCTTGAGCCCAGGACTTTAAACCTGCAGTGAGCTATGATTGTACCACTAGACTCTAGCCTGGGTGACAGAGTGAGATGCTGTCTCAAAGAAAAAAGAAAATAAATGGGGAAATTGTAATAATTTTAAACTAATATTATGTCTACCTAGAATGCTGAATTAATGACTCACATACATTGTAGAGGTTTTATGCCTGTGGTCCACTGATCTAACTGGTGTCATTAAACCTATATTAGGCTGGGCTGGTGGCTCATGCCTGTAATCCCACCATGTTGAGAGGCTGAGACGGGTGGATCACTTGAGGTCAAGAGTTTGAGATCAGCCTGGCCAACATGGTGAAACCCCATCTCTAGTAAAAATACAAAAATGAAAAAAAAAATACAAAAATTAGCCGGGCATGGTGGCATGTGCTTGTAGTCCCAGATACTCAGGAGGCTGAGGCACAAGAATCACTTGAACCTGGGGGGTAGAGGTTGTAGTGAGCCAAAATTGTGCCACTGCACTCCAGTCTGGGTGACAGAGACTGTATCTCAACAATGAATATGTAAAATAAACCTATATTCTAACACAAGGTTTATATCAGTCATTCATTAAATAAATACCTATTGACAATCTACTGTATGCTGGATGTATGTAAGATGCTTGCTATCAACTGCATAAAGTATAATACCCATGGCAAAAATAAAATAAATGGTCATCAACTTTTTTTCTCCCATATTTCAAATTGTGTATAAACTATATTCTGTTACTGATTTTATGTCACATTTTACTAATGTAATCCATATTGCTCTTTGTTGATTTGTATCCATATTCTCTGAATAGATAGCATATGAAAGGCTTGAAATTAAAGCCTCATATTTAATAACAATTTTAAAATATCTCTTCTTAGTTGTTGTAGAAAGAAGACTGACATAAAGAAAATGAAGAGCCGGGGGAGATTCCTTCATTACAAATAAACATCTCTAAACAACAGCAGAATAATTTTTTCATACTACCCACTATTGCCACAGGAACCTCATAACAGGGAATTTTCAAAACAAACAACATAAAACACGCAGAACATAATATGATTGATTAAGGAGCCACAGCATCAACCTCACGCCATCAGCAATGGCCAATTGCATACTTGCCACCAACAGAGGGCTAAGGTTTTTGGTATCCGAGGAGAAAAAACAATTAAGGAAGCATTTTAAACTGTACTAGATTATAAGAAGCCTTTGGGAGAAACTATGAAATTATGAGCATAACAACACTTTTAAAAGAAGGGGATCGTGGGAGAAGAACTGTCAGCCCTAAAAGAGGAAGGTTGGCATGTATGTAATTGAAAAATGACAGGACATTTATAGCATTGTCTGTTCTGGGTCTTCCTTTGTCACAAGAGCAGAAAACAATACTGGGCTGAGCTCTGCTCTAACATGATATGTTTTCTAATTACAGAAACCTCAACAGTATGAGCTGATGAGTAAACCAGAGTTATCATGTAGGGTAGAAAGAAAAATCTGAGATTTGCACTAAAATGGAAAGTTTTCTTTACTTACTGGAAGACCAAGGGGTCCTCTGTCACCCTTTTGACCTGGTTCACCCTTCAATCCTTTAACACCATTTAACCCTGGTTCACCCTAAATGCAAAAGCAAATGCCAATTTTGGTTGCTATTATGGGTGTTTAAACTGTGAGAGAAGAGAGCCAGTCTGTGAAATAGTTGCAGATTCCAGTTTTAGGAAACAGCAGAGTCAGGCTAGATTTGTCTTGCACCAAACATTAATTTTAAACATTAAAACAGTTACTAAACTGACAATAATTAACATTCTAGAAATCAAAACTCCCAAGAAATTGTCCTCTTTACAATAAAAATATGATTGAATTCCTAAATTTTTCAGTTCTATCTCAAGGAAATTCATGTTATACCACATTTTTATGATCAAATAAAGGCAATTGAGTAGAGGATGCTGAAGAAGATTCCACACACACAAAAAAACAAAAACAAAAACAAAAAACCCACTCTGCTGGAATGGAAAACTGGAATATGCAGGACAGGGTTATAGACAGATATTTTAAGCGTTTAAGCATTTGCCCAAGGGAATGAGCTAAAAGCATAGCAGCTGCTGTTTGAAGTAATGCCATTTAGCAAGTCCTCATTCACTGCCCCGGCCAAGTCAGATCCCTACATGGACTAATCACCAAATCACCAATCCTAGCAGAAAATATGAAGATCACAGAACTTAAATGTATTTTTAACTGTCCATCTGCCCAATGTTAGACAAAGCATGAATTTAACTCAGGGTGACATTACAAAAGACACAAGAAATGATAAAATTCTTGACTCTATTTTTAAAAATCAAGGAATACAGCACACCTATTTTTCATCAGCTGTCTTAAAGTGACTAAGATAGTAGAGCTGATCATTACTGCAGCATAACCTAGCCTATCACTACTGATAAAGAAGCCCTGGAGAAAGCAAAGACTCAGCTCTTAAGAGTAACAGCTATGGCAAAGGACTTGAATAGACAATTCTCCAAAGATTACAAATGGCCAGTAAATGCATGAAAAGATGCTCATGAAGAAAAAGCAAATTAAAATGATAATGAGATGCCACTTTTAATATTAATTAGGATGGCTATTATTTTTTAAAAAGTGTTGGTGGGAAAATCAGAACCTTGTGCATTGCTGGTGAAAATACACTGTTGGTGCAACCACTATGGAAAACAGTTTGGCAGTTTCTCAAAAATCTAAACATAGAATTACCACATAATCCAGCAATTCTACTTCTGGGGATATAAAAGTAGGAATTAAAAGCAGAGTGCTGAGCATAGTGACTCACGCCCGTAATCCCAGCTACTGGGGAGGCTGAGGCATAAGAATTGCTTCAACTCAGGAGACAGAGGTTGCAGTGAGCCGAGATTGCACCGCTGTACTCCAGCCTGAGTGACGGAGTGAGACTCTAA